CAGTGGCTACCCTATTGAATGTTGGCCCAGCCCAAAGACCACAACACATCCCCAAATGGAAAACAGACAAGGCCAACTGGCAAGTCTTCCAGAAGGGCTTGGCCCACTGTCTGAGAAGCCATTAACCCCAAACAGTGAAAATGTAGACGTGCTCGAGAAAAGACTTGTCCAGGCAGCCTCACAGACCATCCCCAAAACTCGCCCATGGTCCAGAACTCACAAAAATGCCTAGTACTATAACGACTAGATCAAGTCAACCACAGAGTTAACATGTGCAGAAAAGGGTCCAATGAAAAAGAACTCCCCACAATTTAGCCCTTAAGGAAAGTTGTTGTGGACACTAAAGATATTGCCAACAGAGTCAGGAAGGAAAAATGGCTGGAATGGTGCCAGTCCTTTGGCCACCAGACCAGCCTCTCACAACTGTGGAAACGGGTGAGGCGAGCTACCAGCCGCCAAGCCCTGAGATGCGCGCATCATGAGCCTCAATCAGAAGCACAAAGGCTGGTACTCGAGTTCTCAGCTAGAACCAAAAGAAACAGCCTGCCTCCTGAGTTGAAGGAAAAACAACACCTAATCAGAGATAAGGTACTCCAACCTGATGGCTCGGATGCCATGTTCTCCCTTAGTGAACTAAGAAAAATATATAACACCAGTTCTGGATCAGCACCAGTATCTGACAGGATCTCCTAACCCATCATCTCACACTTGGGTCTTGCAGGATACCTTGCATATCGGCAGCTAATCAATTAGTCCTGGCAAAATGCCATGTTACCCAAGAGCTGGAAAAAAGCTATTATAGTTCCCATCCCAAAACCAAAGGAGCTAAACAGGTATCGGTCATTTTTCTACTCAGCTGTCTGGATGGTACTCAATCGGCTCCGATGGAAAATGGGACCCCCTCATGAACACCTGTATGGATTCACCAGGGATATGAGCACAGTACACAGCATAGCCACACTCCTAAGCACAATATACACTACACCCTATGTGGTTGTATTCCTAGACCTAAAGAAGGCTTTTGAATTAGGAAGTCCTCTTGCTATTCAGGAGATCCTAATCCACAAGGGAATCAGAGGTAGACTGGATAGCTGACTACCTCAACAGCAGAACATAAAATGTTGGATTTCAAGGTCATCTTATCTCATCTCAGCATATGCCACTTGAAAATGGAATGCCAAAGATGTCTGGACTTTGTGTCTAAAGATGTCAGCACCAAAATCAAAAGCTATGGCTCTGAAATCCAGTGTTAAAATCAAGACTAACTGCCCAGGGCATGGATCTTGAATGGGACTACCTGTATCTTGATGCATGGATAGGAAAAAGGAGGTCCAGTACTTGCTTGACAGAACCAAACAAAGACTGTCTGTCATGACCGGGAGACACATAGGAGCAGGAATGTTGACCATGCTTCTGTCGCCCTCATTACTTCCAGTGGGGAAAAAAAAAAAAAAAAAAAAAAAAAAACGTGAAGATGGACATAGGTCATCAACCTCCTCATTAAGGCTGACCTGCCGTCCCTGGACACCCGGAATTCATACATGAGACTGGCTCACACAGCCAAAGTGTTGATACACTTCCAGCTCAGGCAGCACCTGCTCACTAAGGGCATGGGCTCCCCCCACCCTGACAATAGAGAACCCTCGCCGTCGGCAAACACCTTGATCGAGTTCTCGATCTCGATATGCCTAGCCTAAAGGCACAAGAACAAAGGGTCATTGCACAAATAACTCCTCCGTGTAGTAGAACCTACGTCAAGGACGGATCCGTGGATCCCATAAATCACACTGCAGGCAACGGCCTTGCAGCAAGGGTTGCCACAATATCCATCAGGGTCGCTGACAATGCCTCATTGCTGTAAGCTGTAATCACATGCCCATCTCACACACAGACATCAGATCAGCCATTGACTGTCCACGATATAGTATGCCCTATAAAAAGATCTACCTCTTGATCATTGTCCAACAAAGCACAGAGGATCCTTAATCAGGGTAGAAGAATAATCATAAACTGGGTCCCAAGCCACATACGCATCTAATGGAATGAGTTTGCGCTAGACAGACTAGCGGAAAAGGGCAGGGGTATGCCCCTATTTTCCATGATCGTCAACCCAAGCCAAAGAAGACTAAGCCAAAGATCCAAAGCTACAGCACTTGCCATTCTCCGGTGGACACAGAAAATACCACAAACTCGCTCTCAGCCAGATGACACTCAGACACCATTGGCTATGAGCCACTGGCCCTTCCTCCAAAAATACCGAAGGTATCGAAGTCGTACAGCACAGATTAAGACTAGGTTACCCATGTGCTTGGCAGATTATTAATGATGTGGTTAAAAGGGAATGTAAGCATTGCGGCGAGCCGAACGCCATCCTGTTACATTACTTACAGAACTGTAAACATGCAATTTCTGAGACAAGGACTCCCCTCCGCAGCTGCCAGGTTGGTATTAAAGGTATGCCACATGTTTACACCATGGGAATTGGAGCACTTGCTAGCAATCCAGCCTCCACGATAAGCATACAGTTCAAACAGAACACATATCAATTACAAATAGCTGCCACAGGCTGGGTTACTGTAGAGAAAAGGCATGGACAGAGATAGACTTCGCAAATTTAACTAAACTGAACTGAGTAAAATAACATGCAGCAAGGGGATATCAACGGAACTTCCTTTACTACCGTACCCAGAGCTCGAAGTTTCATTGTACAAAAGTTTGAGTGACGATTACCCTTTCCCTACCTTCTTAGTCAACGTCCCTGAGACCTATCGCAGTGTATCGTCATACCAGTCGACTGTGAATCAGAGTTGGCCGGCATCTCTTTACAAAGGAAAGGGGCTGTCACGAAAAAGTCATGTCAGAATGCGAAGATAGAACCTGTGGTGCCAGGGTTCACACTGTTAATAGGCAAAATTCGAAGTGGCAAAACTCCATCCACAGACATCCAGCTGTCCCTGGAACGGCTGAGGTGGGGGAGATACTGGTAGCTATGAAGGAACGTGGTGCCTCAGCAGTAGAGCCATTCGTGCATATTGTATACACATTCTAAGCTAGAGTCGAAGTCGCCTGGCCTCATTTAATACCGACTGTAGATGCAGTCAAGAGGATCAAATCATTTATTGCACAAATAGCCAAAGGAAGGGTGATTCCCACTGACCAATAAAGTTATACTCATCATAGAAATATTTTACTAATATCTAGAGAACAGAAGAACGAATCATATGGTTTATGTGCCTGATACTATTCGTTAAATATAATCTATGAAGCAAATAAAACTTCATATCTATTTATGTATTCTCAATGGTGCGTGCTTATTTTAAAGTGGTGTATTTGATACCCCGGTCACTGGAGAGCGCCCAAGTGCAAGAAAAAGCCCCTCATTTTTGGAAACTTTATTTTTTTGCAAAATGTACTGACATCAATGGCAATTTATGATCATGCTTGTACTGCCGCTGTAGCCGATTTGTATTTCCAGTTTATGCTACCACGTTTGTGGTTAAAAATTTTACCATTACCTCGCACTACATAGATCCACCTTAAATAAAGTAATTAATAAATATATAAATAATCAATTTACACATACATCTATAACCAATCAAACACTAACATCAAACACTACACAACATCACATCACACTACACACACTAACACACACTACACATAATACATATATAATTATTATAATATAACTATATACTATATATAATTATAATCATATATTATATAATATAATATATTATATATATTAATGAATGATAAATATATATTATATTATTATAAGGGTACTATGTAGCATTGAGTATAATAGGCGATATATATAACAAACATATATGTGTGTTAGTCATTACAGTGTTTATTATATTTGTGTGATGTTAGAAACATCAAGATCATGATGCAGCATGTGCTCCCCAACTACTATCATATGACCAAGGACTTCCTATACTAAGTGATAAAATTTATTATATATAGATATACCACTATCTACGTATAATAAATAGGCTATAACTACTAATACATATTATAATCTACTTTAACTATTATATAATATATTAGTAAAATAAGTAATTAAATATATATATATATATGCATGCCTCTACTCAAGAGTAATTACTATTCATGATTCTCTCTCTTACTATATAGATCTTAATCATAAATACTATAATATATATATTTATATATAATACTTACATTAATACACATGATACTTAAATAACATCCTATAACTACACACACACAACAACAACACACACACAAACGACCACTAACACTAACTGAAGACTCACCACATACGACACATCATCACATACATCCACAACACAACATCGTTAAGTCTATCCATACCTTATAAAATACATCTAACTACTTTAACACATTAACATACTAATATAATATCATGTTACTCTAATATATAGTATATGCACGTGTCCAATAGTAATAGCGTACTATATAACACCCCAGCACCAAATACATATCACGGAGCGTGTCACCGTCAATCAACTTGCTGGTCAGNAGCCTATCAGCGACATGATAAGTCGACAACAACCATGAAGGTGTAGTGTTAGAGGCTCCTACATTACAGCCTATGGCACCGTACCGTATACCATCCCGGGATATAATGGTACAAGCATGAGGGCGACTTATAAGCTGTCTAATCAAGGGACATTGCATACAGACGATGTAAAACTCTGGGATGATTGTGTAATGATCAGGTGAATCTTAAATAAATCCCGAACAATGACCATGTCCTTGTAGCTAATAATAAACAACTGTTCATTTCTCCTGAACTTCGGCATTATTTACAAGGTGATTATGAGATGAAGTATATATATATTTTTCCGCAATGGAAGTCTTGTCGAAAGAAGTTTTTCTATTCGTCTAACTTTTAAATGTCACGTGTCAAAGCGACTGGAGACGCCCCAGCTGTTCAGACTCCCACCCAGATGATAGCACTATCTCCCTCCGGCGTAAACACAACTTAGTTATATATATACAGGTTGGGTTCACCAGGTTATTTATCGCTTGTATTTTTTCAAAAAACGAAATCCCTCGCAATGGGTCTCCGTTCTCGCGAATCGGCAGTATGGGGACTTGGCCTGACCTTGCTCTGCGTGGGCGTCGGGGTCCTGGGTCACGGGCGGCTGATGTACCCTCCGAGTAGGTCGTCGGCTTGGAGGCTCGGCTTCGACACCCCGCAGAACTACAACGACAACGAGCTCTTCTGTGGGGGCTTCGGGGTATGTTTTGGTCACGGTGTTGTGAGAATTCGTAGTGGTATAGGAAAAGGAGGATATGGAGGAGGAGGAGGAGGAGGAAAAGGAGGGGGTGTGGAGGAGAGGAGGAAGAGGAGGGGGAGGGGAGGATGAGAAGGAGAGGAGGATGAGAGAAGAGGAGGAGGAGAGGGGAGGAGGAGGAAGAAGTTCATGGTGGTACAAAAGCTTATGGTTGTATAAGAATTCATGGTGGTATAAAGGCTCATGGTTGTATAATAATTCATGGTTATAAAAACTCTTGGTTGTATAGTTCAACAAAAGCTCTTGGTTGTATAAGAGTTCATGGTGGTACAAAAGCTCATGGTTTTATATGAGCTCATTTTGGTACAAGAGTTCATGTTGTATAGATTCCCATGGTTTTACAGGAGCTCATGTAGCACAAGAGCTCAATTTCTTTGTTCTTTTTGTGGTTTTACGGAAGATATTTTAATACAATGTCTCGGTACTATATTTTTAATGAATTACTAAAAACTGTTAACACTTGTTTAGTTTCTCCATAGTCTAAACCACCAACTAAAACATGTCCCCAATAACACTACATAAACTTATATCCACAAATTTAAGTCCCCAACACGACGTAAATCAGTCTTACAATAATCAAAAAATGTTTCAACTCTCCTTATCATCGTTACAGATCCAGTACGGGCAGAACGGCGGCAAGTGCGGCGTCTGCGGCGACAACTGGGCGGACCCGCAACCCCGCGACAACGAGGCTGGAGGAACGTACGGGACGGGGCTCATCACCGCTAATTTCACCAAGGGACAGGTGCGTTGGTCCGTCGCGTGTGGCCCATATGATAGGTCGATAGATGGTTTGGGAGGAGAGGGAGAGAGAGAGAGGAGGGAGAGAGGAGGGAGAGAGAGGGAGGGAGGGAGAGGAGAGAGGAGAGGGAGAGGGAGGGAGAGGGAGAGGGAAGGGAGGGAGAGGGAGGGAGAGGGAGAGGAGAGGGAGAGGGAGAGGAGAGGGAGAGGAGAGAGAGAGAGAGAGAGAGAGAGAAGAGAGAGAGAGAGAGAGAGAGAGAGAGAGAGAGAGAGAGAGAGAGAGAGAGAGAGAGAGAGAGAGTTTTAGACTTTTTCTCGAGATACATACGCGCTGATACGCAAATCACACAGCCATTACCCTCTTTTTGACACAAGAACCTTAACAAGCACACCCACCCAAATCCGAAACACCTAATTACTAAAAAAAAAAAACACATCCTCATTAGCAATTCCCTTTTCAGGTAATCACAGTCGAAATAGACTTAACCACTAGCCACATCGGACACTTCGAGTTCCGTCTCTGCGTCAACAACGCCCCGGACAAAATCATAACGGACGAGTGTTTGGACGAGCACCTCCTCCAGCTGGCTGACGGTTCGGGACCCTTCTTCACCGTGCCAGACTTCGTGAGTGTGTGCTAGACCTTGTTTAAGCTTCGAGATATGAATATGTGATTAGAGGCGTGCTGGATAAAAAGGAAAGAGAGAGAGAGAGAAAAATGATAAAGATTGGAGATAGTGGCAGCAGGGAGAGGTGGAAGGGCGGATATATGTGATAGAGGATAAATGGTGTGCGGGTTGAAAAAAAGGAAAAGAGAGAGAGAGAAAAATGTTAAAGATTGGAGATAGTGGCTGCCGGGAGAGCGGGATAAAAAACGAAAAGAGAGAGAGAGAAAAAAAGTTGAAGCTTGGAGATAGTGCAAGAAGGGAGAAGTGGAAGGGCGGATATATGTGATAAAGGATAAATGGCGTGCGACTTAAAAAAAAGGAAAAGAGAGAGAAAAATGATAAAGCTTGGAGATAGTGGCTGCAGGCAGAGGTGGAGGTTCGATTTTTTGTCGTTGTGGTGGAGGATAAATAGCGTGAGGCATAAAGAAGGAAGAGAGAGAAAATAAAAAATGTTCAGAATTTTCCATATGAAGTCTTCAGTATTTTACGTTATATTAATGTCTGAGTTCTTCCTATTGTCTCCAGGAATAAGAGTAGGGAAAGAGTCTGTCAGAAAGATCTGTTAATCAGTATCACTATATGAATTAACTCGGTTACACTATATCTTCCTTTACAGAATGAAGCTTACTTTTACATCGACATGAAGCTTCCTGATGACGTGGAGTGCTTCCAATGTGTTCTTCAGTGGCATTACCAAACAGGTAAGTTGAGCGAAAACTATTAGACATATTTCGTTCCATTTTTTCATTTTTTCTAATGTAATTGTTTCTATTTCTATTATTATCATTATTTATTTTTACAAAGTTGGCAACTATGTTTGCACTCAAGAAGGCAATAATCAGCAAAATTGTTAGATAACATTGCTTATTCAACGATAAATAAAAAGGACATATTCATGTATCTCGTTCCTAATAAAAGAAAAGAAAAAAAAATGCATCAACAATTGCAAGAAAGTATATGTACGGAAGTAATTTTTTTAATTTTGTGATTTACTCTGCTTGTTGCCTCACTTTATCACTCTCTTATATTGAAATTACAAACAAATAACAGGGTTTTGTTTATTTGACTTCTTGCAGCTGTTCCGTATCTTGAAATAATTGAAATATAACAAAAATAAGAATAAAAACAGAAAACCTAACAAAAGATTAAATATTGATAAGAACAAAGACAGTAAACTTAACAATAGCTTAATTATTGATGAATAAACACAGCAGTCTCAAAAATAGGTTAATATTTTCCTCTCACTACGGCTGTGAAATTGATAATTTAGTAATTTTATTAATTGCTCTTTTTGTTTATCACCATTTTCATCATTATTATCTTTATCATTGTTATCTTCCTGATCATCACCATCACATCATCACCATCATTATCATCACAACAATCATTATCATCACCATCACAAATCATCATCATCATCATCATCACCGCTCTCATTAGCATATTACCATTGCCCATATTATTTTGTTAACTCCCTCGTTTTCTATACCTAACCACACGCAGGGAATTCGTGGGGAGACTGCGGTAATGGCACAACAGGCTTGGGTTGCGGCGACCAAGAAGTATTCAGAGGCTGCTCTGATATCGGAATCTATGCTTAAGATTTCTGATTCGAACCTCAGTGGTTTTGGTGTCTTGGATGTACGAATAAAAATATATTTCTTTTTCTGATTTTTTGTGTTTCTCTTGTTTTTCCGTGACCCTATATCAGTTTATGGTAGTTTGTGATTTTTTTTGAAGAAATAATACTGGTACTGGTTCTCACAAGGAGAATAAATCATATATATATATATATATATATATATATATATATATATATATATATATATATATATATATATATATATGTGTGTGTGTGTGTGTGTGTGTGTGTGTGTGTGTGTGTGTGTGTGTATGTGTGTGTGTGTGTGTGTGTGTGTGTGTGTGTGTGTGTGTAGAAAAGTTACGAATGAGAATGAATATCTTCACAGTACAAGAGATGTATTTGATCGGTTTCGCATGTATCTTCGTCAGAAATACATACATTGGAGAGATTACAGAGCATATATATACCACATGTGAGCAAATGAATCACCTGATGATTGACCTCACATTCGTATGTATGTATACATATATCCTACTATCCATATGTACATACATACATACATACATGCACACACACACACACACACACACACACACACACACACACACACACACACACACAGTAATAATGAAAAATCTAACAATGATAATAATGATAATAATAGCAATAATGTTAACAATGATGATGGCAATGATAATAACGATAATGATAACAAAAAGTAATTTTTATAATATTCAAAATGGTAATATTGATGATGATAATAATAATAATGATAATGCTTATGATAATGATAACAATAATAATGATAATGTTTATAATAATGATAACAGTAATACTGATAATGCTTAAGATAATGATAAAAATAATAATGATGATAATGATAAGGATAATGAAAATAATGATAATGCGTATAAAAATGATAATGATAGTAATAATGATTATAATAATGGCCATAATGATGATTGTAATAATAATAATAAAGATGTTTATAATAATAAAGATAATGGTAATAATAATGATAATAATAATAAAGATCATAATGATGATTAGAATAATAGCATCAAAATAGGTCGCCCATGTCGAGACTGTTAGAATGGCTGGGGACGAGAATGGTTTGAACAAGAACGGCTTAGAAAAACATCCTTTCCACTGATAATAATATTATAACAAACAAACAAACAAACAGAAAAAGTAAGAGAGATTAAAAAGTGAATAAAATCCACCGTGCTAATATTGAACTTAATAAATTAATGCAGGAGGTGGTTTAGCCTACTCGAAATAGGTCGCGCATGGCAAGTAGAGTAGACGGACTGAGGACAAGCATCAGTAGGAAAGAAATGGTAAGGTTGACGTACTATGGTAGACTGGTTGCAGTGCTTGGAGAGAAGCCTTGGGTATTGTAAGGTAAGCTCTGCGTGTCTTTGTGTGTATGTATTTTTGTGTGTGGAAATGATTATGAATATTTTCATTACCATTATCATTCTTATCATCAATATCATTGTTATCAGCATCATCATTAATATTATTATCATCGTCATCATCACTGTCATTGCCATTATTATTATTGTCATTATTATCGTTGTTAATGATATCATTGTTATTATCATTATTATTATAAAAATATTACTATCATTATTATTATCATCATTATTATTCTTATCATTACTACTGCTGCTACTATTATCATCGTTATCATCCCTATCATTATTATCATTATTACTTTTACTTTTATTGTTATCACTTTTATCATAATCGTTATTGTCAATACTACTGCTATTATTATTATTGGTATTATCATAATATTGTTATTATTGTTACTACAACAACTACTACTTTTATTGTTATTATCTCTATCATGATCATTAGCAACAGCAGCAGCAGCAGTAGTAGTTGTAGAAGTAGTAATAGCAGAAATAGTATTAGTATATCTATTATGGTTACCATTATCATTATATCATTTTTATCATTATATTATTCTTTTATATCATTATTCTTATTATTATCATTATTACTACCTTTATCATAATTATTATTGTTACTATCATTATTACTATATTCATTCTTATTATCATCATTCTGATAGTTATTATCATAGTAATTAGAATAATTATCATTATTGCTATTAATATCACCATTACTATTATCATCATTGTTATCGGAATCATTATCATTAGCATTGTTATTATCATCAATATCATTATCATTATTATTATCATTTCCTTACATTTACTACTATTGTCATTATCACTATTATTATCATTATTATTGTTGTCGTCATTGTTCTTACAATCATTATCATGATAATCATTATTCCTGCTTTTTAACAGTTGTGATCTTTATCACTAATACGGTTATTGTCATTACTAGTATTGCTATTATTGTTATTATATTCATTATCACTATCATTATTATCGTTATTATTGATATCATAAGCATGACTGATATTATCATCAGTACTACTATTATTATTATTATTACTATCACCACTATGATAAGAATGATGGTAATGATAACAATAAAGATAATGATTATTGCTATAATCATTATCATTGTGATTGTTATGGTCATGATTATCATCATTACTATTACTGGCATTATCATTATCTTTATAATTTTTTACATTATATTCATAATTGTTTTCATTAATATCCTCATTATTATTATTATTGTTTTCATTATAATTACTACTTTTGATTGTTATTATTATTATCACTGCCATTGTCATAATCATCATTTTCATCATTATCATCATCAGTATCATTATCTTAATTATCATTATTATCATTGATATAATTTTCCTTATTATAATAATTATTATAAAGGTTATATTTATTATTACAATTTTTATTTGATCAACACTCTCATCATCATCTTTGCTATTGTTATTATTTTCAATATCATTATGTTTTTTTTATCATTAACATCATTGTTATTGTTACATTTTCATTATATTTATTATCATCATTATCTTTATTATCGATCATTATTATTATTATCAATATCATCATCATTATTATTATATATTCATTATATTATATTATCATTATCATCTTTATTTTCATCATCGTTAATTTGAAGGGGAAGAGGGCTCGTGTGCAATCGAGGGTGTGGTGTCGTGTGTAACTCACCAAGGTGTTTCTGGATAAACTGCTTATCTTTGGTTACCATTGTTATATCTAGTGGTTTAAATGATCTATCTACAATGATGATAATGAAACATGATAGTGGAGTCAACTGTGATAGCTAATGATAAAGGTTATGGTGGCGATAACATCATACTATTAACAATAGTAATAATGATGATATCTATGATAATAACAAAAAATGATGGCATTAGTAACTATACTACTAATAATGATACCAGTAATGATGGTTTTTATGATATCAGTGATAATTATCAGAGCCATAATGATAAAGGTAATGATAATGATATCAACAATAATAATGATAATACTGACACGGATATTAATACCAATACTTATGAAAATGATAATGGTATATATATGCGTGCGTGTGTGTGTGTGTATGTGTATATATCATCATATATATATGTACACACACACACACACACGTATATGCGTACAAAGGCTGCTTAAGGAATTTAAAGGTGAGGTGTTCTCGTGGGAAAATGACAGACACAGCACCTCTGTTATGGAAAGAATATTAAATTTCCAGCAAATTACTTACATGTCCACTCATTGCTGAAGTCAAATTTATCGAATGGCTTTATGTATTTTACTTAAACGAAAATCTTTGGTTCTGCAGCGACCATTTTCTTTGTTTAGCTTTTATGCCTTTAAGGGGGAACTGTGTTGAAAAGCTGTTCTGTATCTATTATTAACTCTGAGCATAACAGACGACAAGGTGTGTGTGTGCGTGTAAATATATTTGATGTGCATACATACATAGGGGATGGGACAGAGAGGGGGTGGCGCGAAGTCTGCCTTCTTTTTTATGCAAAACTTTGGACCAAAACATTGTCAAGCTGAAACTTTAGTGTTGAAATTTTGTTGGGTTTGTAAATCGGATGAAAAACAGATTAAATCGTTACCGTGCAAGAATCGTTCTAGAAATGTACTTCCTGATGAAATAACACTGTTTGTAGTTGGTGTTTTAATATTTGTACACTTGTTCATGTTACAGCAATCACACACCACACACACACACACACACACACACACACACACACACACACACACACACACACACACACACACACATATATATATATATATATATATATATATATATATATATATATATATATAAGCACATATTTATATACTTTGATACGCATATTCATATTCTTACCTCCTTTTTAATAATGAACGGCAGAATATCTAGAGAAAATACACGTTAATTCACTGAAAAGATTAAAAAACTAACAAATGATAATCGTAGACCTATATTTTTCAATATGCTAGTTCGCTTAATGGGAAAATAATAAAAATCTCCAGTGACGCAATTCACACTGTTTATTATTATCCTTGTCATCATAATTATCATTATCATTATATCTGTTATTATCATATTATACTTTTATCATTAGCATTACCATTAATATTGGTATCATTATTAATGTTATAATGATTATAATATAGCCCATGCATATTACACTGGTCGCTTCATCCGGATATTTAAATATCATTCATCAGTGCTTCTGCTCATATTTACTTTATCATTCATGTTGTCATCCATTCGTCATGTATTCATTGTAATTGTTATTATCATATTATCATTAATTCATTGTTTATTTTCATTATTGTATATCATATTACTTTTATTTTCATATCTGATTTAATCATTAAGTAATTCTATTGGAGTCATGATGAGTGTATGTACCTATTACAATGTTATAATTATGATACTAGCATCATTATCATTATTATCGTTAAATTCCTATGATTTTTGTTGTTTAAATCTATGTATCTACCATCACACCACCATATCTATCATCTATACGCAATTACTAATACTATTATTTTCATTATCATTATGATTCCATTATCTAAACTTTTTATTATTTTATTGGCAATCATCATTATTACTAAGCTTTTCTTATTATTATTATGAATCTCAAGAAAGAAAAAAAGGGCAAAGATAAATCTCAAACTTTTACGACGCAGTTCACACACACACAATCAGTCTTGAGAAATCCATTCTTGCTTCAAGGTACAACTTTTTTTATTAACTATAACAACATCTATTTAGATAATATACGATGATTTTCCCCCAAATATTTTTTTTTGTCTTTGTACGTCCGTACCGACTTTTTACCTCCGGCTTCTGTACGCTAGCCCGGACTACGAAGGTGAAAGATAAAACAACTTTGCGTATAAATATTCACCGACGCGTTTGAAGGCGACGAAACAATAAAGGTCCACTCTCGTCTCGATTTCTAGAAGATGGGCGTGCGAGGTCTGCGTGGGCTGTGGCCTTGGGCTGTTGGCCTTCTAGCACGGGTGGAGGGCCACGGGCGTATGAATGATTTTCCAGCTTAAGGTCACTGCCTGGGTAGTTCCTGGAGACACGGCTGTCGGCACGCCAGTCAACTATGAACGACGATGAACTCAACTGCGGCGGCTGGGGTAAGGACTCGTCTGCTTAACACTGCTTGTTTTATTATGTTTCGCTTGTTTTATTTGTCTGTGGTCTTTGTGTATCTAGTTTGTTGTGTTGTATTCAACGTTTTTTTTTTTTTATTTTATTTTTCCTTCATTATCTTCTTATATTTCTTTCATTCTCTATGTAATGTTTCCCTTGTGTTGTCATATTATGATGATTTTATTGTTACAAGCCTTAAACTAATTGAATAAATGTGACTACATTGTTTCACGTAAAAATAAGCCTATAACTTTTAAATTGCTTTTTCCTTATCATTTACAGACGTTATTGTAATACGTCTCCTTGATTCTTCAAATATTCATTTCCACTAACCTTCTTTGTATCAGCCCATGCCTTCACTTCAAACCTTTCATTCCTACTCGCCACTCCCTCACCTCCTCCCTCGCCCTCCCCCTCCCTCCCTCCTCCGCCCCTCCCTCCCTCTTCCTCCTTCTCCCTCCCCTCCCTCCCTCTACAAGAGACTCAAACTAAACAACAAAAAAATACACTAAATAAAGTAGCCCAAGTCAGAATATTTACTCTCCTGAATAATGAAAACCGCGCAAAGCATGAATATGAATAAATTTATTGTAAATTATTGCAACAAAGGCAAAGCAAATGAATGAAACCCAACTATCGTAAACAAAACACATCCTCCTTCATATACCATATCTCTAACATATCTTACCCAACATATCCTTTAATATATCCTAACATATCCTCTCTTATATATCTTTTCTAACATATCCTCTCTAATATATCCTTTCTATCATATCCTTTATCACATATCCTTTCCAACATCTTCTCTAATATATCCTTTCTAACATATCCTCACTTCTTTATCATTTCTAACATATCCTCTTATATATTCTTTCTAACATATCCTCTCTAATATTTCCTTTCTAATATATCCTGTCTTATATATCCTTTCTAACATATCATTTCTAACGTATCCTCCCTAGCATATCATATCAAACATATCCTTTCTAACATATCTTTTCAAACATATCCTCTCTTATAAATCCTTTCTGACGTATCATTCCTAGCATACCTTACCTAACATATCCTTTCTAACATATCCTCTCTTATATATAATTTCTAACGTATCCTCCCTAGCATATCCTCTCTTATATATCCTCCCTAATACATCCTTTCTAACATATCCTCTCTTAATTATCCTTCTAACATATGCTCGTTCTTTATCCAGACACAATACGAGCAGAACGGCGGCAAGTGCGGCGTCTGCGGCGACAACTGGGCCGACCCGCAACCCCGCGACAACGAGGCTGGAGGAACGTACGGAACGGGGCTCATCGTCGCTAACTTCGCCAAGGGACAGGTAATGATGAAGTTGTGATGAATATGTTATGAGGAAGAATTGAGGTTAATTATGATGGAGATAGAACCAGGTAATGCGGATGAACTTGTGATTATTATGTTATCGTGACGGCTTAGGATTCGTGGTAGTCGAGAAGTTGGTCTCATCGTTAGCAACCACCAAAAAATCAGATAATGATGAAGTTGTGATTATTTTTTATAAGGAAGAATTGGGGTTAATTGGTCTTCGTCGCCATCTTCATCAAGAACCAGGTAATGAGGAGCAAAGATTGCGATTCTCCATGGGGTTATGCTATAATGAAGAATTGGGGTTATTGGTGATCGTGCTCTGTTGCTTCAGAAGAGATAGAATTTTGTTGACGATAGTATTACGTCGGATTGCATTGCCAGTCTTATATACTGGGGTAGTATCGAAGTCATGGGTTATTTACGTTCTCATATATTACAAAGTAGGCACTGGAATCATTGAGGAAACAATGTATGTATTTGATTCCCCTGGCTTTAGTAAGTGACTGCATTCCTGTTCTCTCGAATTAACTCTCCTCATTATCATGATTATATGTTAAGAGTAGCTGGCTCTAACTTCTCCCCGAACACTGGTGCTTTCATCTCAAAAGTGAGGTTGCAGTGCATTTTTGAGACGCATTCAGTAGTAGTACTGTAAAATATATATACATTCGGTGGTTGTATCACACCTGCACTCACAAACACACACACGTATATATATATGTAAATATATACATGCATATATATATATATATATATATATATATATATATATATATATATATATATATATGTGTGTGTGTGTGTGTGTGTGTGTGTGTGTGTGTGTGTGTATATATATATATATATATATATTATATATATATATATATATATTGTGTGTGTGTGTGTGTGTGTGTGTGTGTGTGTGTGTGTGTGTATGTGTGTGTGTGTGTGTATATATATATATATATATATGTGTGTGTGTGTGTGTGTGTGTGTGTGTGTGTGTGTGTGTGTGTGTGTGTGTGTGTGTGTACACACACACACGCGCGCGCGGACACACATATATGTATATATATGTATATATATATGTACATATATGAACACACTCACACACACATACATGTGTGTGTGAGTGTAAGTAACATGAAAATGGAGTTCTGTATTCCTGTCCATAATCGCAGGAAGTGGACGTCGAGATCGAACTGACGACGACCCACCAAGGCTACTTCGAGCTGCGTCTCTGCGTGAACAACGACCCGGATAAGATTATCAGCGACGCCTGCCTGGACGAGCACCTCCTCGAACTGGCCGACGGATCAGGCACCAAGTATCCGATTGCGACGGAGAACGTGAGTTGGAGGGTCGAAGGATGTTTGTGTGGGTGGCTTTGAAGAGAATCATGGGCGTATGTTTGTGGTTCCGTGTGTGCGTGTGAAGAGGTTCCCTCTGGTGTGTAGGTTTAGATGATTAATTGATTAAAGTGTACTTGAAATTCACTATCTTCAACACCTCCAGAGTCTGGGGTGAGTTGCGTTTTCCCATTTTCTGTATCTGGGCGGTATATAATTCCCGTTTTCTTTTAGAAGGATGTAATTTCCGTTTTCTTTTCGAAGGACTGGATCTACGTGACGGCGAGAGTGAAGCTCCCTCAGGACGTCGTATGCACTCAGTGTGTGCTTCAGTGGCACTACAGGGGAGGTAAGTAGTGTAAAAACGTTACCATTATCAAAAGAAAGGGCGATGAAGTAAATTTTTTATTAGAAATTTGATTATTACATCATTCAAAGAGTAAAAATATGATTTTGAAAAATGCGTCATCATAAAAAATCACATTAACACAATAAAAACATCAGAAAGACTCTGTCCCCCGCTTGATTAAATCTCAAACATTAATCGAAATCCCGCCACGATTTCTCCACATCTAATCGGACATCCTCCCCCTCTCCTCATCAGGCAACAACTGGGGAGAATGCGGCGACGGCACCGAAGGCTTGGGCTGCGGTGACCAAGAGATCTTCCGCGCATGCGCCGACATCAGTATTTCCTAAGACATCGGAACTATTTCGAAATAGTAATGATGATAAAAATGAACTGTCCAAAAAATCGTTTGGAATGAATAAAATTTAAAGGGAAACATGAATTATTATTTCTGATAAAGAGTGACTTTTCGATTGTTTGACTCGGAAAATTTTACAAAATCAATACATTTATTCATAAAGTACCGTTTTTACCTTGCTCTATGGTATAAAGTTATACGAACTTCATTATTTTTTTTTAATTATTGATACATATGAAAATTTAATGTATTTGACCAATAAAAGAGAATGCTGTTTAAGAAATCATGTCAAGCATTTCATATCAACTTGCACCTGCCATCTAATTAGAATCAGAGGGTACAGTAGCAAGTGAAATATTTACAAGTAGAGCGAGAGACTAAGAAAAGACAAGCACACTCGTACATATATGTACACATCCACATCCACATCCACACAGACACAGACATATATATGGAAGAAAAACCCACAATGCACAAACTAGATTGTGCATTGTGGGTTTTTCTTCCATTTTATCAACACGGTATTGTGTTTTTCATTGCATACATATATATGTATATGTAGGAGTAAATAAACACATACATAAACATGATGTATGTTTATATAATTACCTTCATGTTTTTTAAGTAGTTACTTTCAGTTTCAAATTACAACTTCACCAACATGATAATCATCAAAATAATGATAATGATGTTAATGACATGGATATCCGTAATCATTACAATGAAAATATCAATGTTGATGAAAATAACAATAGTCTATTATGATGACAACAGTAATAATAACAATAACAGCAGCATTATCATCATCACTGTTATGACAGTTGTTGACATTCCCAATAATAGTGGTAAAAATGAAAACTTCAGTAATACAGTAACAACTTAATTATGTTTTTAAGTGACTGGGAAATATGCATTCACAGACGACCCCTTCTGTATTAGATATATACAAAACGCACAGCCAATGCACTGCTGCAGAGGAATACCCTATCTCTTTGGTATTGTCAGCAAAATATGGAGAAGGTGGTCTAACCTGCACTACCAGTCATGTTACAGTTAAATCCTATATTTGACCAGTTGGATTTTGTAAGTTTGGCACAACATAAGCTGTTCCAAATACAATATGGAATCCTTCTCATGTTGGAATATTGTTCCATGATACTGTTGACACTCTTACTGGAAAATTCTTGTATGATGGTATTGACAGACGCAAATGATATCTGAAAATCAAGTCCTCATTTCCATTGATAATTCCAATAGAAATTAATTCATGTCCTCTCGGAAATAGGATATATCAAGAAAGATAAATCCTTTCTGCAAAACAAGAGGTTATTTAAGAAGTATGACGTGCTTGCTACTACAGATGCAGAGAAAAAAAAATATGTGGTAAGACTAACCTACCCACTTCCTCCTGACGTATTTGAATGTGATTTAATCTTCGAATTAAACCTCTCTAGATGATATCTTTGACTTTGTCCGTACTTTATGGATATAGAAGCATGGGCTTATCATTTTTCTAGAAGGGGTCTGGGGGTAAAGTAGGGGGGACTTCCATACACGTTATTAGGGATGTAGGCTTACGTGCAATTTCTCTCCATATTTGCTACGTAAGGGAAGACCTTTGATGAGCAGAACCAACATCGTGGTTAGTGGGCCTTATATCAGGAGAGAGAAGGCTACTAATTTCTCGTCAGGATGTGTTTGTGAGCCTCTAAAGTGCCCACAGATAAACCACTGGCTGATAGAGGGGGGGGGACGGCACTCCCTGACGATATATGCAGAACTACACGAGGATATTCTGTCAGGAGTAACATTATATCGTAATGTTCATCATTTTTCTCTTTCTGGAGAATGGTAAAGCCATATACTGGTTTCTGTGCTAAAGGCAGATTAAACACAGTAATACAGCTACGTAAACGCCATTATTATTGTGTTAAATAGATGTCATTGCTGTTATTATTATCATTATTGTTATGAATATTTGTATGAGTTTCATCATCATTATTACGCCATCATCATTATTATTGCTGTGTATCATCATCATCATTATTATTATTACTATTATTACCCTTTTTCATCATCTTTATTATTATCTTCATTGTAATTACCATTAATACTGTTATCCGTTTCATCTTTATCATTATATTTACTATTAAAATCATTATCATTACCATCATATGTATGTCTCACAGCCACTGGAAACAACCATGTCACACTCAACAACAATAGGATAGTTACCCCTTCGCTTCTTCTTCTTGTTATTATTATTATTGCTATTATCATTATTACTATTATTATTATTATTATTATTATTATTATGTGTACGTGTTTACTGCATTCCATTATTATTATTATTATCATTATTATTATCACTCTTATTTCTTTTTTACTGTTACGATTGTCATTATCGTTATTATTACTGTTATCACTATCATTATTATTATTATCATGATTACTATTGTTATTATCATTATAATTAACGTTATCATTATTATTATCATTATAAATTTAAATATTTTTGTTCTATTGCTATTTTTATTATTATTATTGTTATTATTTATTATTATTATTATTATTATTATTATTATTATTATCATTATTATTATCATTGTCATTATCATTACTATTATCATGATCATCATTCATCGCCATTATCATTATTTACCACATTATATCGTAACTATTCCTACTCATGATAATCAACCTTATCTTATAATTTTAGTCTGACATGTATCTTATCTTCATTTAAGTCTTACAATATGATGACGAAATGATTGGCTAAAAATAACTGAATATATCTAATATTCATTAAAGGCTAGTCACGTAGTAAAAGAAAAAAATATAAAAAGAAAAAGAAATATATATATCCCCTGTCATATATATATTTTTTTGATTTCGTCAAACGTTTGATAGCAGCTAAGAAAAGATAATGATATTCGTGTAATTTTATCTTATCTAATAGCCAAACACAAAAGGCCAATTAGTCTTTTGAAGTGTAACAAAATATTTCGTTTGTCAAAGAATGTACAAGTTACTGTTTTCATTTTGAACATTTTCTATGAAGACATGAATAATATATTTTCTTTACTTATAAGAGGGTAGACTATAAAATATTTTATTCTCACGTATGCAAGTTTCTTTGACTGAATATTTACACTAATAATAAAGATGATAGAAAAAAGTGGAATCAGTCAGCAACAACACTTCCTTTTATATTCAATCTCGGGCATGTTGTACATCTAAGCTTAAAACGTTTCAGTCTGTTAATTTTCTGCGTAAATGACGGGAGTATTTCGGATAATTTACATCCTTGTTTAGTGGGGTGATTTCCATTGGCATTAGGTCATTAGAATGGCACTCTAAGTGGTTATTGAGAGAAATAATGTATGTTCATATATGTCAGTGAAATTAGTTTATGAATTATATCTGAGGGAGTTTAGAAGACGAAACTAAAATAATTATAGTTAATATTATCGCATTTTCTAGTCACTTTTGTTTTCTGTTATAATTGCAGTTAATTGTGCGTTGCAGTATAGAATGCAAGGAATCAGATATAGCTCAATTTAAGATTCAGCGTGGCTAGGCCGGGATGCAAATGGCAACAGAAAATGTAAACTTACAAAACGAGATATCAAGGCAACACTAGTAGTCAAGGCAGTACCTCTACGCACGTTCCAAACACGGGGGGACTAATACATAAATGCATGGATATATCAGCAGGTGAATATATGAATGGATAAATAAAAATAGATAATCAGATATACGAATAAGTATGTATATAACAAGTAACTAAAATGATTATAAACTATCAGCACATTCATTCCAGTGCTTTCCAAAAGACACCCAGAATCTTAACTAAACACAACAGACAAGTTACCATGAGTACATTATGCCTCAGTTATGGAAAAGTCCCCGCTATCAGTGTGCAGTGCAGACACGTTCCCTCATAAAGAAGAGTGTTCTGTTTCGAGTACTTAACTTGCACGTCTCTCGTTACTGTTAATATACATATTGACTGTCTTGTGGAGCATATATGAATGATCACTGAAGACCTCTCGTAAAGGATATCCGAGCACACTAAGTTTGTGTTATTCATGAGTTTAGTCTGGTGCAACGCTAGGAGAAGGGGGGGGGGGAGTTCAAGGAATAAACAAGGTGAACTGGCAGGTGCAATGCTGGTCACAGAGTGTCTGTAATGTATTAAGGATTGGGTGTTTATTCTTGGGATTCAAGGAATGATCTAGATTAATAGCATTTTTAGGAAGTGGAAGCCTATGTAATATCATTATTATAATCAATATTGTTATTGTTATCATTATTATAATCATTTTAATCATAATTATCATTATCATTATGTATATATATACGCACACACACACACACACACACACACACACACATATATATATATATATATATATATATATATATATATTATATATATATATATATATATGTGTGTGTGTGTGTGTGTGTGTGTGTGTGTGTGTGTGTGTGTGTGTGTGTGTGAGGTAATGGTAATAATAATAATGGTAGTAGGAGTAGTAACGATAATAATAACATTAATAATGATTTTAATAATGATAATAATAATAACAATAATAACATTTATAATGATAATGATAATTAAGCATGCATATATATTCATATACACATACATACACACACAACACACACACACACATATATATATATATATATATATATATATATATATATATATATATATATATATATATACATGTATATATATATGTATATATGTGTGTTTGTGTGTGTGTGTGTGCGTCTATCTATCTATCTATATATCTCTCTACATATGAACAAACATGTATATGTATGTGCGCGAGTGTGTGTATCTATATATGCACATATTTTTGTTTTGATATACAAGGCGGGTTGATAGAATTAGGGACATAGCTCTAGTACAGCCAAAGTAACTTTTATTATCGCTGTCACTTGTAAACACAAGCGCATAGTCCAAGTCAGTGAAATGGACCGACAGTGCTTTCGAAATCGGACTCGCCATGCAAGTTTCTCGCCTCTGCTTGCTCCCAGACGCCGGGATTTGTCCATGATTCTTCAAGCAAAACCGTCTTGACATTTCTCAAGGAAGCCAAGCAGACAGGCAACAATACAAATAAATCTCCTTTGCGCCCAGTGAAGGTCTCTCCATAAATTCCCATCGCGGGTTCGTCTTTTACTGCTGCCGACACTGGCTCTCAAGGT